GTGTATATATGCATTTCAATTACCTCCTCAAAACCTGGCAAAATGGAGATTTTCATACCAGACTAATTTCATCTTTTAGTAATCTTCTAAACTCAAAGATGAGTTCATAATATCTATGCCAGACCATGTCGTCATTAACACTAAAAGATTCTTTAGGTAAATGAAGTTCTGCTTCTTCCTGTAACTTCAGCTTTTGTCTACCTGTCGATATTCTTCCAGAATTAGTTCTGTAATTTTCTCTTGTTTTCCTGGCCTCTTTTTTAAGTGTTTTCCCCTTTTCCTATTGGTACTATTTGTCACAATTTTCCTACAGCTTTTTCTAACTTTATCTCTGCATCTGTATTTACCTCTTTCTCCCAGTAGCCTACACAGGTACCACAACCAACTCCTTCCTTTCAAATCAGATCCTCCATGCAGAGTACGGCTCTAACCAAAGGACTAAGTATCTTAAAGCTACACGCACTACTGATGCTCTTCTTAGGGCATGTGTCAATACTAGCATCAATCACAAATAAATGTTTGGCTTAAAAAGTTTAGGGTTTTTTTAGATTAGTATCATGGAAAGGTGGGCAAGGAAGCTGCGAGCATTTTTAAAAGGAATACTGAAGCCAGGGATTTAGCTCAGCAGTTCCGCCGTCTGCCTCACAAGCACAAGGACCTAAGTTCAATTCCTGGTACCAAAAAAAAAAAAACAGAAAGAAGGAATACTGAAATGATGTAATACGGAATCTAAGCTAGACCAAAAAAAAAAAAAAAAAAGGAAGTGAAAACAGAATACAGAGTTACTCGAGGAAAATAAAACAGATTGACAGAATACATCTGAAATTGAAAAACTACTACAGAAGGTAGTTATAAGCCTTTAAGCGTTTAGTAAGATTTATCATGATAGCACTTTTAGGCGAATTCCAAGAGGCCTGAAACAGCAAATGCAACTTCTGTCCAGTATCAGAGAAAAGAATCGTTAGTACAGTAGGCAATCTCAGAAATCTATTTTCAGCATTAACTTGTTAAAATATGTTCAGTCATTAATGACATGAAGGCATAGAATATATGCTTATCGATTCTACAAATAACACTGAGCTGACTAAATGGACAAACACTGCCAAGATTTTTTAGTTTTTAACAACTATAAAAGGAACACAAATCTAAAATTTAATATAAAAGTATTTTCCTTGGAAAAATCAAAATAGAATTCTTACATAACAGTATTATCTCTGGGGAAAATGCCTTGGAATTTTAATTCTGCCTCAAAATAAGCCAACAATTTAACAAAGTTAGCCAAAGAGAAGTACTAGAAGAGAATAAGAGAAGAGCGGGGAAAACCTAATTACTAAAGATTTCCTCTCCAGTGCTTTGCAAGAATGTCTGGCAAAAATTACATAACCTTTCCAGTAAGAAAATGAGACTAGTATACACACTATTTTAGAGGATAGGAGACAGACACTAAGGAAATTCTTTGCCCAAGATCATACTGTTGTTGCATAAAAACATGTATGTGGCCAGTGTCCCACGACCCCACTATCTCCTGTGGGCAGTATTAATAGAGACAGTGTCCAAATTTATTCCACTTTGGTCAGATCATATTTATGTACTGTGTTCAATATGTGTGCGGGGACCACATTTCAAAAGTAATTTGGAAACAATGGAATCTGATCAGGAAGGTTAACTAAAACATTACGGACGGTGGGGCGGAGAGGATCTTAAGCCATCATATTTACACGAATGCTCTGAAGTCCATAGTTCATAGGCCAACACACTGAAGCTAAAAGAAAACCATATGAATTAAGTGAAATTTCCAAGCAATTCACACCCATAGATGGTATGGTACCCTTGCCATGTATAAGAAATATTGTAGGTTTACGTTAGATCTTAAAACCTTTAAACCCCTAGCCGATTGTAAAATATTTCTGCTCGTAAATGGGAAAGGTTTATTTATGCTACTTTGCTAAGCGGTAGGTTATGTTGATGCTGTATTATTCCAAAGAACAGCTATCTTAAATTTAATGTTTATCTTCCACGGCGTCAGTGTACAGAGGAGAGGCAAGAAGTCTTCACAAGAGGAACAAAAGCATGGCGGGGGTCAACCACTTCATCCGCTCACTCCGCACTCACCGCTCCTCTCACCTCGCACTTTCAAAACTGCAAGGCCTACGTTCCCTCTTCGGGTAAATCAAAGGCAGTCTCCTTTCTCTCAAGCACCCCCGGCAAGTGCCGCACCTGGGTCACAGAGGGGGGAAAGGGAGCCCGCGGGCCCAGAGCCGGACCCTTGATCCAGCTGGTCCCTTCGTCCACCCGAACCCTCTGCCACCCTCATCCCTCGTCCATCCGGTCCCTCCTGTCCCTCAACCTCCTCCACCCCGACCCCCCTCCAAGCATCCTAGTAAGGACGAGGAACCCAACAGCTGGGAAGATGGCGGCACTCACCGGTCACAGCTGCCGCAATGACCGAAGCCAGCCCGGGTCGCACTGAGCCACTAGGTCCCCACGACAAGGCACCCAGGATGTACAGCAGACGTGCAGGACACCGGCGGACTCTGCACTGACGCGACCCCGCGACCCCAAACTGGCGCACCCCCCACTTCCGGCACTTCCGGAAATCCCGCCCCGGGCTCGCCCACGCCCAGCAGCCAGCGGAAGTCCCGCCCCCACCCGGCACCGCCGGAAGTTCTTTCCTGGCTTCCGCCGTGGGGCTCTACTTAGCCGCGTTTAGGGATATCTTTTCTGGGCTTTGGCGCTGATTCCGTGCCGTCCCGGTTGCCTTGCTGATCCAGCTCCTCCTAAACCGGCGCAGAGCGAGGACGGAGCAAGTGACCTCGGAAGGGGAGCGAGCACAGCGCCCCCTGGTGGCTCAGGAGTATTTGGCGCCTTTATATGGAGTTTTGTGAAGATGCTGGGACCCAGGCCCAACCGGACCCCAGACCTGCACCCCTCCAAACTCGGTCCACCCGATGGAGCAGGGCACCGCCTCCTAGGGCCGCGGAGCGTCTGTAAGACGTGAAAAAGCATATGCTGACTCTCGTTGGATCGGATCTACTCACCGCAGCAGTGGCTCCGGGGGTGGGGGGGGGGGGGGGGCGCGGTCAGGCAGGTTTCAAGTCCATTCCTAAAACCTCGCTCAAACCTAAGAAGTGGGAAAGAAAACAAAAAATAATTCCTTAAAAGCCAAAGTCGGTCAAGTATACTGTTTATAACTATTAGTCAATTTCAAAATCAAATCCAACCAGCTTTAAAGGCTGCGAACCGCTTCGCTGGATACGGCTCTGTGGGAGTCTTGCTATTTGGCTGCAGGAAAGCCTTCTGGAGATAGAACTATTAATATTTCAGCTTATCTGCAGAAGATGACTCACCCAGTTTTCTTCTGAAATATTTGATCACCATTGGCTAGAAAGAGAAAACAGAATCAGCTGTTCACTGCAAAAGGTGGGACATCAGCTGCTTTTTTTCTTAAATCTAGGTTGTCAAAAGTACATAATAAACTGGGACCATTACATAAACAACTGTGTCTTGAAAGCTCACCTAGAAGAAATCAACATGAAACCATTTTTCTTCTATATGGGTCAACGTTCTTGCTCTTTCCTTTAAAAAAAAAAAAAACTAAAGGTTCAGATTTTAAAAGACTATTTTTTTTTTTTTTGCACAAGAACAAATGGAAGCTGGTGATTCTAATAACTTAAAATGTACAATAAAACGTGAAATTTTACATTTTTTTAGAAAGCTTATGACGAGTTAATTCTGTAAGATGAAGTAAGGAAGTGATGCTTGACTCCTTACCTTAAATAATTTTCTTCAAATTTGGAGACTATGATACTCAAGTAATTTTGTTTAGCAAAAATACTGCACAAGACATTCTCCTGGTGGTGTTAGGAGATAGCTTTGTAAACCACAGTATCATACTCAACTAACATTCTACTGTGTGATTTTATTTTGCAATATAGTTCTCTGTTTTGATGACCTAGATATTGTAGATGGAAGTAATCTTTTCTTTGATATATTTAGGATTCCCCAAGTCACTTAAAATAATTGAATGCATTATAAGGTATCAAAAAAAGTTTTTTGAGGCTATTAGTTTATACATTTTAAAGCTTGTTTAACCCCCAAAATGATAAAAGTTATTATTCTAAACTGAATTTTTTTTTTCGGTACCAGGAATTGAACTCAGGTCCTTGCGCTTGCAAGGCAGGCCACTGAACTGCTGAGCTAAATCCCCAGCCCACTAAACTGAATTTTAGCTAAGTATAAGAATGTTGAAATGACTTGTCAAAAGTCAAAAAGATAGTATGCAGCAGAACACAGATTAACATCTAGATGTCAAAGCCCATATTCTTTTTACAGTGTACTAATTTCATAGGGTTGCAGTAACAATATCACAAACTACAAGGCATAACCAGAAATATACTGTGTTACAGTTCTAAAGGTTAGAATTCCAAGGGCAAGGTATTGAACAGGGTTTTTCCTCCTGAGAGTTCTGAGGGCACATCTGTTCTACTCCAGTCAAGTTTCTGGTATTTGTCAGCAATCTTGGTGTTCTTGGTTACTGATGGTATAACTTTGGTGTTCACATGGCTTTCTCCCTGTATAGATCTGTCTTTTCATTGGAAGACATCAGTCAGGACTATCTTGCTGACTTAAGTCTCCTGAACCTCAACCGTGACTGGAAAAGTACTAAAAAGTAAATGCTATCAAAATCTCACCTTGAAATACATTTTTACATTTTCTGTTCTTAAGTGACCATCTTTAGTTTGTTTAGTACAGTTTATTACTTTATATACTATCTGTTGACAAAAGGTGGAAGCTGTTTTATAGCAAGCATATTTGATCTTCAGATGTACATTTCATTCAAGACTAGAAAACTTTCATGCTCTTTAATAAATTTACATTGGTCTTACATACACCTAGATTTTTACCAAATGGAGAACCTTATTTAACCATCCAAAACATACTTGTAAACTACCCCTGTGATGGCAGAAAGTATATATAAGTGAAAAAGAAGGTACTATGAATAACTTTATATTGGTCTCTAATCCACATAGTTGGTACCTTTTCTCTTTATCAAAGCTATATAATTTAAATAAAAAGAATTAAGATGTGTTACCAACTCTTCATGATGAATGTAACCATAATCAGCACGAAGTAACTCTCCCTGCAAGACAGGTTCGTAGGGGTCCTAAACCTCTTCCTTGCCCTCACTGTGACTGTAAAACAGCAAAAAAAAAAGCCCATGGCATCTCAATCGCCCTGTATGCAGCTACACACCTAAGAAATGTAGTCTCCAGTATCATTTTAAATGCAGTCACCCTACTTGTCTTCATAAAGCAATAGATGCCTCCAAAGTGAAACTAAAGAAAACCAAAAAAATGAGAGGTTGACTTGCCTGATAAGTGTTACCAATGAAGATAACAAACCAGTCAAAAACAAAGGGGCCTGTGGCTGGAAAGAAAAATGAGAAGTCTGCAGAAGTGGAGAAGAAAGATGTTTCAAAAGAGAAAAGGCCTTGTGCCAGTGTCTCAAGATCCAAGTGACTGCCAGAACTCACAGATCGGCCACAGAGACAAGAGATGTATGTGCATACAGGAGATAATTCAGAAAAACCCTGCCAAATCAAGAAACGCAAAAGGAAGCTGGAAGCTGAAGCCCAATCCTTGTAGGATCCTGTGAATGACGGGGAGCCTGTAATGCCAAAGAAGAAGGTAGAAAAGCAAATCCAAAAATGGTAAGGAGGTGCAAAGGGTGACAGCGAAGTGAACGAGAATAAGGAGGTGAATAAAAAGCAAAATGCCTGTGTGGAAAAAAAAATACAAAAAGGAAAGTTCTTCAGAACTTAAATTAAGAAAAACAAACAGAAAGTGTGCTCAGCAAGAGCCACCTCAGAAGGAGGCGGCCCTGAAGGGGCCTGCGAAGATAGAGCCTCCACAGGCCGCTCCTGACCAGGCTGCTGAGGAGGCTCAGAAGTGGAGCCCAACCCTCAGGGAGGTTGTTCTTGAGCTGCCTTCTCTCACAGAGCCTGCTCAGAAGGGATCTGCATACACAGAGCTGACCCCTCCAGTATGGCCTTCCTTTCACAAAGAGCCCATCCCCAAGACAGTAAAAAGGGAAAGTCCAATGTGCCAAGCAAAATGGCGGGCAAGGAGTGATTTCTTATCCATGCCAGCACCTATATTTCATTAAAACTTTATTTTGAATGAATATAGTAAATTTGTGACTCTGTTATGATTTTTATAATAAATAAACCTCTACATTCACACTGAACAAATTTTTCTCAAATACCAATCAGTTTTGGTGGTTTTTTTGTGTGTTTGGTTGGTGGGTTGGGTTTTTTTGTTTTGTTTTGCCCCCCAATTCTGATGTAGCTACTTCATAACTGTACAGTGTTCAATCATATCTTCAGGAGAACCTTTTCTCATGGATGGTTGGTGTCCATGTGGCTGCTCAGCTGAATGGAAAGCTGGAAGTTTGGAAATGGCAAACCAGGAACCAGGAGACATCATTGTTCCAGTTTCACAGAGTGTCACTTGTGAGCTCTTAATACCATCCATCTATAAGGAGAGGTGGTATGAGGGCTGGCAAGCCAGCTGCAGCTTCCTAGGAATATAATAAAAATGGTTTTTTAATATAAAGACAGTCCAGATTTTAAGTCATACTTGCTCAGGGCTCTCCACATACTAGTAGGTATCCTAGCTGTCCCTGTGACAGCCTCTTTCTACAAATGAGACCTCAAGTGAACTGCAGCTATCCTAGCAATCCTAGAGGGGCACTGTGTACGAAAAAGGTGTGCTCCAAAACTGTTCTAGGTTCTTAGGCCAGTTGCCGAAGTGTGAGTGAATCCAATGTAGGGTTTTTCATACTTTTAGGAGTTGTTCACTTCAGTAAAATAAAATGTGATCCCAATTAGGATATCTTTCATTTCTTTCCCTTTACTTGGTGATCTGTTTGAGGCAAGTTTCAGATGTTGGCAGTGCAACGTGAAAGATTAGGATGAGCATTAATGTATGGACATAAGATGTTAAAAATCTGACACTGAATTTTCAGTTTAAAGGTATTTAAACTTGGAATTGACTGAAGTCAAAGATTTAAAGAAGCAGATGATTCACTCAAGAATGAAGAATAAGTTGTGTGACGATGTGTGTTTTGTGGGCAAGAATGGGAATTTTTAAATGTTGAATTCTAGGCTCCAACACTGGCAGCAGGAGGTCAAGCTGCAAATATTTATGTTTTCAACTTAAATTATGAAGCTAGTTAAATTTTTCTAGTGACTCATTTTCACGTTCATGAGCACATTTTTCCCTAATTTACCTTTTATATTACACTGAAAAAGATTCACCTTAAGCATAGATTGGACACTGGGAATCCTTTTGGGGATGAAGTCTTTGGATTCTTTCATAGTACAAAGGAAAGAAATTGACTTTTTGGTCAACTGAACAAATTCCTAATCTAATCCTTAAGATGAAAACACTAAAAACTATGAATAAAATTAAAAGCTTTTGTTAAATTGATCTGTAAAAACATTGTTACTAGAAATTGGGACTTCAGGCCTTTCTTCCAAAAAACAAGGGCTTGATTGTCAAGACTATATGAAGTCCTGAACCTTGGTGCCATGTAAAATTGTTCCAATGAAAAGTGCATTGTAATCAGAACTTCTGGTCCAATTGGGACTTCTACCATTTGCAAAATATGTTTGCACAGAACTGTTTGAATATTTTTGTTATCTAGTCTCTCTTTCTCCAATAGAATTGAAGCTAGAATTTCTCTTTTGATAAAAGAATAAAAAATAAACATGTTATTTGTAAACTAATGTTTAGTAACTAGTGATATTCCATGGTATACTCCCAAAAGAAAGTCAGCATACTACCCCTGTATACCCATGTTTACCGCAACCCAATTCATAACAGTTAAGCTACGGGATCACCCTAGATGCTTGTCAGCAGATGAATAGAGAAAGAAAATGTAGTGTCTACACACGATGGAATATTACTGAGCCATAGGCAAAAGCATTACGTCACTCTCAGGAAAATGAATGAAACTGGAGACCATTGTGTTAAATGAAAGCCAGACTCAGAAAAACCAATATGTTTTTCTCATATGTGAAATCTGAAAGAGAGGGGGAGAAAGAGACAGGGTATGAATAGAAAAGAGGGAATGAGGGAGGGTGGAGGGAAGGGCAGGGGGTCAAGGAGAAGATGAAAATCATAAAACTGTTACATGCGTGTACATACAAATATGTGAAAATGAGTCCATTAATCTGTGTACCTGCTATGCACTAATAAAAAATTTTAAAATCAGATTGGTAAATAAATGTTGCCCACAGAAAAGGCTGCTCCTAGAAGAGAACAAGGCTGCGCATGCTACATAAAGTGGGCCCATGATAACATAGATTGCCTCAAGCATTACAAATAAAACATATTCACAACTGTACTACATCCCTCCTCTATCACAGTCCCATGGCCCCTTGCCTCGGTGCATGACATGAGTATGAACCTACTCATTTCTCATGCCAGTAACCTAGGAGTCAGCCTAGACCCTCCTGTGTCCCTAGGACATCCCTCCAGTACCTTGTCTTGTCAGCCTAAGGCGCATTTGTTCATGTCTCTAAATTAGGGAATGTATGAACATTGTATCACATTTATTTATGCTTATCTAGATAGGGCTCCTTGCTAGTAGCTACCATTTCTTTTATTTATTTTTGAATCCTGATGCCTGACTTAGAGGAAATGAGAGTTTTGTTGAAAGCATCAACTAATAAATGAAGGACAGGACAAGGCTGCTGCTCTGCCAGCCTGCAGCAGCAAGCAGAGGGGACATGAAGAGAGCCCTGGGAGCAGCAGCTGAGTGGGCCAGCGGGAGGGCTGGTCCCCAAGGACCCTAAGAGGACAGAGTCCTGGGCAGGGCCGAGGAGGTGTTGGGGAGCCAGTCCCTCCTTTCGGGAAAGTACCCAGGAGCACAGCCAGCCCATAGTACAGAAGCAGCTTCAGGTAAGTCAGCTCATCAAAACAATTTGAAGAAGAGAAAATAGCCTTTTAAGGAAATTGGCCCACAGAAAGGATGGGCTTCTTGGACAGCCCAACAGTCACCCTAGCTCATATGTGACAATCACTTGTGACCAGTGATGACAGGAATGTGTAAGATGTTTCTCACTGAATAGCGTGTTGACCTACAGCAGATTCATCCTCCGTCAGTGCCTCGAGACAGTGGGTCAAAAATTCAGGGAAGCAGTTTTGAGACTCAGGGCTATGTACACATCCAGTCAGTCAATATTACCTCAAGGTGGGACTTCAGTATTAAAAGGCACTCAAACATGGCTCAAAGATTATAATGACTCCAAGAAATGAGATAAAATGCAAAAATATTTAGTGGAAAGAAATTCTAAGCATTCAGCCAAGGAGTTAAAGACATTGTTTGGAAAAAAAATCCCTCAAAGAGAAACCTCTAGGTTCTAGAAAACAGTCCACTTTATCTATATGCCCGCAGCAGTGTCCTCAGCAGCTGAATAAACTCTTTATTCTGAATTTGATGACAAGGCTCATGTAAGTACAACCACAATCAAGAAGATTAATGTCCAGCTCCCCCGTGTACTCAGGCCAGACAGATTGATGCCAGTGATCACGGTGATGATGGCCAACTCCAGAGTGCAGGACCTTACTGGGCTCATCTTCTAGCAATATACAAGCTATGTATGGGAGCCAAAGTGCAATGACAATGTCACTCCCCAACTGTCTGCGTACTGTGGAGGATGGGGGGGCTGGACACCAGTGTTCACCACTACCTTAGCCGGATTACAATGAGTCCATTCATAAGTATGGTGTCAGTACTTAGGCCCTGCTTAAAAGTATTCATCTCCCGGTTTGACATCCAAAGAGTTAGTCTTCGTTTGAAGAAATGCTGCTCATGGATTCTCCCTTATTCAGGTGGACAACACAAAATTCACCACAAAGGAAATCAGCAGTGAAACATAGAAAAAAGAAAATAGGTCTGAACTGCTGAGTACTGGCCTGGATTTCAGAAACCTTTGCCATCACAGAAAATTCTGTCACTCTGATTTACTATCTGTTCCCTACAGCAGAAGTCCTCAGCAGTGTGATGTAACACCCATGCTCCCTATCTATCAGTTTGGGCATTTATTTGAATGCATCACCTCACTAGTTTCCATAAACTATTTTACTATTGTTTAAAATTAATGACTGTACACACACACACACACACACACACACACACAAAGAGCAGAAGAAAATAGCATGATTAAGCTTTAGGACTATTAATGGCAGCAACAATACTGAAAAGCAAAATCTCATTGGTCATCTTCTGTACAAACATAATTCTAAAAATAGCCCCAAAGAT